TCCAACCCTTAAACCTGAGTATCACGGCAAACTTCCCGGGGAAATCTTCGATGGGGACGCTCAGTGTGTCATGCAGTACGGCGCTGATTACATATTGTCACCTCATCAAAAGGTGAGCTATGACTGAGAAAGGAAGTACCACAACAAATAGGTTCGGCGCGCAGCAAGCCATGGTTTACTTCACGCAGCTTTATCTTTGAACCAATGGGGAGCAAGTTGTTCTTGGATTTGAGATTGTTATTTATTGTTCTGCTACATTAAAAATCTTGGATGGCGGATTTGGAAAATCAGTCATTCGTTTCACACAAATCAGCCAATTTTCTACCATAGTGAAATTAGTTAAGCACCTAAGAAGAGATGGAAACTTTGAGAATACTGGTCCTCGGGGCCAACGCGTCTCAAGTTAAGTAGAGCCATTGCGTAATATGCAGTGAAGATGTCAGGCCATCAGACCTTTTCCTAAACAGATTAACATTTCCCTCAATTTAAATTCATCGCCCCTTGTTTCAAAATAATTTCTACTTTAAAATTTTTTTTTAAGGGAGTATGCGATAAGTTATATTGCTTTAATCCTAAAAGTGGAACGCAATTGAGTCGACTTGCACCGATAGCTGATGGGGCACCCTGTGCAGAACGCAAGGTAAGATCAAGGGTAGTTATCCTGCGATAATCTTATGAGCGTCCGGAAGCGTTTATTATGGCCATTTTCTTCTGCCACGAGCGAAACTTCCATGAATACCGCCACGAAAACACACCATGCCTTGCCAACAAGCTCTCTGCGCCTTAGCGTCTCTCCAGCTTCTGTCACCGGCTGCTTCATTGTTCATAGCGACAAGGCTGGGAATACCAGCTTCCTGGCTAAATCTACCCCAAAGATTTTACGAGCAAAGATGAAAGAAACAAAATTTTGCCGTTTTAAATTTCATTCTATGGAAACTGAATTATTCGTGAAACAGTTGATTGATCATTACGATCAATAAATCAATTGATAGCTTGACTCTTGACTTTCTGTCTTTCCCACACTTACATTTAATTGAAATAAACACTATCTTATAAACTTTTTCCGCATGAATGTTTCTCGACACCGGTAAAAGTGAAAGAACTTCAAAAATTCTCGACCAGATTTCCCCAAGCTGGGGAAAATGAAGCTGCCATGTTTTTGCTTCAAGAACACTGTAGCCACAAACTAACTGTGGGATTCATTTAGAAATTTATTGAAAATGTTATTTACATGAGAAAGAAAACCACTTGCAAAGTGAATGTGCATTCAAGATTCTTTTTTATTTCGGCTTTCATTTAATAGTTATTACCAAGTTTAAACGCTTCAGCACTTCTGTTAATTTTAGGAAGGACTCCGTGAGAGTTTTGATTTAAGCAGAGGCAATGAAACAAATTTTGTTAAAGGGAAATTGGGTGCCGCGAGTATACAAAATAGCTGAACGGCATTTGAACAAGAGTACACTTGCAATTTTGCTGTTTATGTCGTAAGTTAGGTCCTCAAACTTGAAATAAATTTTACCACCTATAACCCTAAAACTGACCTTTATTGCGATGAAAAAGCTCCAGAAAATATTTAAAATGTTTCTTAGGCCTGCAAACTGCAGAAAATTTCTGTCCAGCTTATTAGTTTACAGTGATGAAGGAGAGGTAGAGGAATTCTGGCTACAAAATTCACGTTTTTTCCGTTCCAAATTGAGGTATTCTTCAAAAGCACTTTTATAGTTAGTGCCCTCTAACTAGTTTGATCTTACACATCGCTATTTTACGTAAGTTTTCTCTACAATTTCTGCTCGGGTTCTCGGTGCCATTACGTTCATTCAGCGGGAAATTAATTTGTCTTTGCTCTTCTGACCAATGTTTCATTCAGTTTCCTGCGCTTTGATTGGTTTCTCACGAATTTTTTTTAATGGTTTTCATGAGAATCAGCGACTTTATCACAAATTAAGAGCTAAGAATAAGTTTATCTATATCTCTGACAAACTCCGCTCTGAATTATGTCATAGAGGCGACAAACAACACCCTCTGGGTTACTGGGGCTCCTACAATCTGAATTGCTCTCAGCAGTACAATTCAATCTCAGATCGTACTCTTTTCATTTTTTTGTGACTGGTTGAATAAGAAATTCTTAATGACAAAAATTTCAGCAATTAAATTGCAACATTTTAAAATTAGATATTGTTATAAAACCGGAAATTGGACCACGTGTTCGGCCATTTTAATGCGTGTTTATTCGATTTTTAAATCGAGCGTACAGTTCCAGACCAGATTAAACTTCTTGCACCTCAGTTACCGCAGAAAAAAACAAACCCTCTAAATCTGTAATAATTATGTCACTTTACCGGTCTTAAAAATATTTTCTGTTACAATTGCAGTGGTGCATAAGCGGGAAATGTGTAGACAATGGCAAACCAAGGATTCATGGAGGTTGGAGCGCGTGGTCTCGTTACGACTCACCATGTACACGGCCATGTAACGGCGGAGTCACGTTCAAAACTCGAACTTGTACAAACCCTGTGTAAGTTTTAATAATAACAAATCTAAAACTGTATTTCCTGAAGCATTTAGACCTTAGGATTATAAAAGGCGTGTTCGTAATGATTTTTTTCTATCGTTATTGTTGTTTGTTTCTTTTTGTTGAGTGTGTGTGTGTGTGTGTGTGTGTGTGTGTGTGTCAGTCTAGTTTTTTGTAGCTTCAAGTTGTTGTCGTTGTCGTTCGTTTTTTGTATTTTTTATTTCAACCAGCGATTTTTAAGTTCCTTGTATTTGCTTTAATCTTCTTCGTCATTATCCATCGAACAAGCGCAAGTGGAATAATTGTATCATTAAAAACGCCCCAAAATATAGATAAATCTTCCTAATTTGCTTTATTGTTTCCTCAGAGATACTTTTTTAGCTCCGTTTTAATTTTGAGCATGGCATATTGGCTCATAACCCATGACAGCTAAGCCAATGAAAACTCTTGAATTGCATTATCCAATGTGTTTTAAATAAAATATCACCTGCAATCTGACATCTTCACCTGACTTTTTCTTACCTACTAGACCATCTAATGGCGGGGAATCCTGCGTGGGAGAAAGCAAGGAATGGAAAATTTGTAACCCGCAGGTTAGTTCGGAAAATCGCCCACAAATAAAAGAGGTTTAATTTGGAATAAGAGCGACTCTGCCTAAGTGATTGTAACGGTGACACCTTCGGATTGAGTACGCGTAATTATTTATTGGAGAAGTATCCTCAACTTGAGTTTAATTTTTATGTTTGCTATTAAAAGGAATATATAAGATCATGACTCTGACGGCGTTTTGCAATTCCAAAGAGTTAACTTACCCTTTCGAAATTTGTATTCAAATGTTACTAAACTTTGAGCACGGATGCCGACATCGGGTGGTTCTCGAAAAATTTAATGGGATTGACTACAGGATCATTATTTGATCCACTTTATCATTTTTCTTACAGGCCTGTCAAGAAGGAGCAAAAACGTTTAGAGAGGAGCAGTGTTTAAGAAAGCAATCTGGCTCAGTTCCCTACTTTGTTTCAAGTTGTATGTGTGTGACTTTGACTGTATTTCATTTATATATTATGTGCAATTCAAGGCCATATGTTTACGAAGCTTCAAGTAAAGTTCGCTGACCAAAAATAATTACCTGTAATTTTCACCTAGAACTACAATTAGGAAGCTGGCAGCGTGTTTTCAATTATTGCATTTAAGGTTTTCCTTGCTTATTCGAAGAAAAACTTGCCTAATGAGTCAAAAATCACCAAACAAAATGTAATGGTAAGACAACTAAATACGATAATTTAACTAAGATACAACACTATTTTCGTTTTCAGGGAAGTTACATTTTTCATTTTCGTAATTCATTTATCTTATTTATTTTCTCAGCCCTTTGTGAATTATATTGTCGTGTCGGAAGCCTTGTGAGTGGCAAAGGTACCGTAGAAGACGGAACGCGTTGCAAAGCAGACAAAAACACTTATGATGTGTGTATCCAAGGAAAATGCCGAGTAAGTGACTTGAGATTATATTGCAAAAGATTACCTGTATCTATTTCTTCTAGTTTGAAGAGATCTGTTCACAAATTTATCTCCGCGATTTATGGATAGTTTGTGTGGCTACTATGGCTTTAAAAAAAGTGTTCTGATACCAACCTTACTTCGTCTTCAGAATTGTCAGAGAATGTTACAATTTTGCAACCCGCAAAACTGTTTTATCTTAAAGGATCGCTAAGAATGGAGAATATTTTAAAAACCCTTTTAACTCCCATGGGTGACCAAGACAGAATTTCTCTTTACAATATCAATACAATATCAAGCAGACGAGTGATGAGAATAAAAACAATTTTAACGAGAAGTAATTAGTTGATCCAGTACCAAATCTCCAAACCAAAATCACAAGAACTATATGGCAGACAGTAAGGAGAATTACTATTAAGATCTTGGGAGCTAAAGGATTAAGTTGAATTGCGAATAAAGTTCTGAAAAAAAACCTGACAAACAAACGAACAAACAAACTTCAGCTCCAATAAATTATTTTCAAAGCAAACCATATTTCCCAGTTAATAGTTTTTCTCTCTTCTCGTTACGCTTTTCTATTTTATCGAAAACTTTTGACATTTTGGGGAGAAAATCTTTGTGAGTCACTCCAGGAACTGAATAATCTAAGATATGTTGAAAATTTGAAATGTTTCTCACTCCGTCATGAAAATGCATTTAAGGATGTCGGGTAATTTTGGTTTTGAAATGTCACTTGAATAAATAGCCGGTTGGTTGTGATCACGTTCTGGACTCCAACGCAATGGTGGATCGCTGTGGCAAATGTGGCGGCAATGGGGACCAATGCTTCGTTATTTCTGGAAGTTACACGGCCTCTCACACTGTAAAAGGTAAATTTCATAGCCCAGTAGGAGAGTTCTTGTTGATTACGTCAAAGTTATGCAAATAGAGGGACACTAAAGAGGACCTAGGCACCTTACTTTGCAGTGAAAATAGAGATATAACTAATATTAGGTATGTGGCTTTGACGCCCGATTCACTTGCATGGACTCCGCAGCAAACATCTTGTTAAAATTTTTAGGTGTGTTTTATTGGTGGAGTGGCTACCTGGTTTTATAGGTGGCCTTTTTTCAATTTTTCAGATAAAATATTATCGATAAGTCGGTTATTTGATTGTATTAGTTTGATAAGTGTTATATGTCTACTTCGGTAATCTATGATTTCATTCGATTTCGTTTGATTCTCTGTTTCCTCGCTCTTTGTTTTATTATTATTCTCTTATGACTCAGAGCTTTAACATTTAGAAGGCAAAGTTAAGATTTTTATCGCCTCTTTACTATTTGCCGAAAGTACACAAAAGTGC